TTTGCTTTAGCATATTGCATGAGTGTGAATGTTGTCATATCAATCATACTACCATTAGGGCTGCAATATAAATAATATTTTTTATTTAAATATTTATATTTAAATAATATAAATAATATTAAAAAATTTATCGAGCCGAGCCGAGCGGAGCTCGAGTTTCATTAAAATTAACGAGCCGAGCCGAGCTCGAGCCCAGTTCCTTATCGAGCCAAGCTCAAACTCAATAAACGAGCTCGATAAGTAAACGAGCCAGCTCGAGCTCAGCAAAGCTCGGCTCGGCTCGGTTCGTTTGCAGCCCTAACTACCATGAGACTTGCTGCTTATTTGATATAACTGCTTGAATGCCTATGGATGAAGGCTAATCACTGGAATTGGGATACTTTGATTTATGTATATATGCAATCACCATTTTCAGTAATACATATTTAAAACATTTTTTTCAAAACAAACATGGAATCAAACGTTCCAACTTTTCATAAAATTAGTCTATACTTGTATGTTACATATAGAACAAGGGCATATACTGTACATAAAAACCACATCATGATTAGTAGAGGCCAATCTTTGATCGGATGAGTGGGGTGTTCGATTATTGACCTTCCCCTCTCATACCTAAGTTCCCGAACTAAGACACTTTGGTAACGACGAACTAATGGCCTTTGGCACGAGTCATGGGTTTTTTAAATTTTTCAAAAATAAATATTTAGGTAGCAACTCTGAAATCTGGCAAAGCAGTCCATTTTGGCATTTGATCCAAACATCGATTTTTCAAAAGAAATTGCCAGATTTGAACTCTTTTTGTGTTTCCACTGTTTCAGATTGCACTTGTGAAATCAGAATCAAAACCAACATACAAGTGGAGTCCAAACTGTAAGGGCTATTTATTCTTCCGAAAGGGAGCGCGAAAAGCCAAGCTACAGGGAGATAATCCCCCGACGGACACTCTGACGATCAAGATAGGTGAGAGCAGATTGACTTGAGAGAGAGAGAGAGAGAGAGAGAGAGAGAAGTGAGGGGATAGAAAGACTTAACCTTGACGTTTCTCGAAAACTTCCTTGTATCTTTTGCTTATCATTTCCTTGTCCATTCCAAGCTGTCTTGTTGGCCGAAAGTCTATAACCTAGTTGACATCGTTCACGGTGAGTCTGCCTTCTCCGGCGTGAAGGGTTTGCCGCATTTAATGTTATGAGGGCCTCATTGAATGGTTGATATGTTGGTGCAATAATTTTGCAAGATCTTTGTCTATTTACGTGGCTAAGCCTCTGCTTAACAAGTATTTGAATGCTATTGGTCCTGACCCAGCATTGATTTCTCAAAGTTACTGGGCTTTAATATCTGGCCTGTGAGCTAGGCCCTGTTGGGTGCCTACTAGTATCTGGACCAATCCACATTGCCTGCGATTCCAGCAGACTAAGGATTTACACAATTTACACACAAATAAAACTCCCACCAGCGATTCTAACAAACTATTAACAATAAAATCAAGATTTATTTCGAAATCAAAATTTCATTGATCCACTAAACTTCTCTTCAAATCTAAAATCAAAATTTCATTGATCCACTAAACTCCGCTTCAAATCAAAAGAGTACCACTTCAAATAAAAAATTAGAATCTAATAATGACCAAATCTAATAATGACCAAGACCAGGTTGAAGCGCAACCATGCACTCAGGGCACTTTTGGGAAGAGCCAAAAAAATCAAAAGTCAACTTTTTAAATTATTTTGGTTTATATTACCTATCTACTTTTATATACGTTTTTTAAAAAAAAAAATTAAAAAAAATTAAAAAATCAACTTTTAACTACTCAAAACAACCCTCAATCAGATGATAGACATTCTTTTCATGCATTTGCAGCAGGGTACATCAACAACTGCAAGAAAAGATTAAAGGGGTTTCACTTTCACATTGGAATGCTACTGGAAACCAAGATTATATAAACTTTCGGAAAGTGAGAAATTACCATTTCCATATGGATGCCAATGTAAACGGCAAAGAGATAATTTCATGTGCCAACTCATTGATATCCCTGAAAGTGATTTCATCCACAGTTTTCAAGAAATGTTCAAGAGTCTTCCTGAAAAGATAACACAACCATTATTCCATTAAATACACATTATAAATCATTTCAGTGGCAATGGGAAAAACATCAAGCCGGGCTGGAGGAGAGAAAGACGTAAAAGCAGAGTGAAGCTAGGACCCAGAAAAAATTCAGTAATGCTGTGTTTGGTTAGGGAGATTTGAGGAGAGATTTGAAAAGAAAAGAGAAAAGTTAAGTGAAATGTGAATAAAATATATCTACATTTCACCTAGTTTTACACATTTTTTTTCTTTCCCTTTTCAAATTCCTCCCTAAATCCTCCAATCAAACCCAACATAAAAGCCGAAGGAATAAAGGTGAAGAATGAGCATGAAGATTGACATCGAATCTCGGATTTCAGTTCTTTCAAAAAATAGAACTCAGCATACTTTGATGATTTCATTCGAGGGTCAATACATAACTCCATTTATCTAGAAAAGTTCTACCATTACTCTAAAGAATCTCAATACTTTGTCATATCATTGTAAATAAAATTTAGAAATTTAAATTGCGTGTCTCCAACCATTTTTGATTGATTTTAGCTCATAACTATAAAAAGTGATCTGCTAAACTTTTAATGATGTGGCTCAATCTTAGCCATTGATTTTTTGTGTACCATACATTTTTTGAACAAAATGTACCATAGACTTTCCCTCCAACACCATACTTTCATATAAATGCTGATTGTTTATTTACCACATTGACGTAAAAAATTTTAAAAAATAATTATTATAACAAAGCTCCCTCAATTATTAATATGTATCACTTTATTTTTTTTTAATGAACCCCAACCATATTGACTACCTCAATTATAGAAATCATGCAAATACTCTTTTTTGAAGGTCGTCTAAAAGAGATGAAAGCAATATATTTTTTTAATTGAAAAAGTTAAAATGTACGAATTCATATATGATGGAGTAAATTAATATTCATATATAATTGAAGGAATTTTAATGTAATTAATCCTTAAAAAAATAAAGAGAGGCAAATCGACGAGAATACTGAAGAGTGTTGTACCCATGCAACAAATTACACAAAATAACTGAAAGTAAATAACTACATATACACAAAAATAAAAATAGAACTAATAAAAACAAATAATAGAAAAAAAGAATTATATATACATTGAAAGGCTATAAAATACAAGTTAAAATAATTGAAAATAAAATAACTACATACACATAAAAATAACTAAAACAAATTAAGAAGGAAAAAGAAGAATTATATATAATAATAGTCAATAGAAAAAATAAATGGGGTATTCCGAGAATTGAACTCGGGACCTCTTGCACCCTAAGCAAGAATCATACCACTAGACCAAATACCCAATTATGTTTGAATTTAACCACAAAATAATATATATATATATATACTTATTTCTGTTTAAACTCCCAAAGGAAAAAGGACAGAAAATTTGAACGATTTTTTTTTTTTCTTTTTGTTCTCCTTTTCCCCCCATACCAAATAGCTTTCATGAATCATAATAACTAAAATATTGTCATAACAAAAGAAAAAACTACATAACTTCATACTTTGTTGGTTATGACTATAAAAACATAAGTCATACATAACTATTACTAAATAACACCACATAAAACATAACCAAATATCTCATTAATCTTAACTAAAATACAACCGAGCGATTTTTCCTTTCTTTTTTATTTTTTTATTTTTATATAATTTTATTTTCATTGTGAACTGAGAATTTTTTTTTTCTTTTTTTTTTCCCTTTGATTTGATACATTGTGAACTGAGATTGGAATTACCCCCATCAAGGATTTTGGAGATTCTTGTTATGATTCCTAATATTAAAATATTATAAAATAAATGACGTGTAACATTTTCATAATAGTTGGGGTCCGTCAACATTCCACTGAGAAATTTCAACACAAAAATTTTGGCATAGAAAATTTTCAACTCATCAAAGAGAAATTTCAGTTCATTACGGATAAATTTGTCATAAAGAAATTTGTGAAATTTCTCTGTGACGAATTAAAATTTCTCTAATAATATTATTGAGGGACCTTAATTAATAAGAAAAAAATATATTGGACTTCTCCTACTGCTAAAACTTGGAGAGGAATGTTTCACTAATTTTTTCTAATTATTATATATATATATATATATATATTCTCTTTTTGATCAAGAATTATTATATATTGTTAGTGAGACTAATCCTACAACTAAAAATTGTACATTAAGCTTATAATATCACCAATAATTTTCCGAGGGCAAACTTATATGATTCGAACACATTCTTAATTAATAGGGTAAATTACACTAACACCCCCTGAGATTTATATTTATTACAGTTTTTCCCCTCACATTTGAGAAATTACATTGACCCTCCTGTTAATTTAATTTTATGTATGATGATCATTACGGTGAAGGGGGAACTGTTATGAAACTTTAAATCTCATGGGACAATTTGTAATGAAACTTTAAGTCTCAGGAAGGGAGATGTAATTTTGAAAATGTAAAGGAGAGCTGTAATAAATATAAATCTCAGGGGTGTCAATGTAATTTACCCTAATTAATACTACTTCGATAAAGACAATTTTCGAAACTCGGGGGTGGTTGCCCCACCCACCCTCGGTATGGATAAGTTCAAAAATTCGATTTAAAAAAAATAAGGATCCCCATGATATGGTTGGGATGACGGGCCACTGATCTAAGCAAAGTTCAAAGAAGCTCTCTGGTTTATCAAGCTTAAGATTTTTTTATTATTGTTCATTAAATTTATCGGTTTTGCAGTGTTGGTGATGGGATTCAGAAGAGTTGTTGGTTTAGGGTTTGTTAAACACTTTGAGGAAAATGGCTTCAATGTAGGATTTCCACTTATCTGTTACTTTCACTAAGATGATTCCATCTGATGTGATAAACTAGTATTGGAAGTACCAACCTTGATGGGACTAAAAACAACTGTGAAATTTCACAAAACAAGTGTTAATGCTGCAATAAAGTAAATGGTGTTTTTGATTTTGATCAAGTGCTTGTTCCATTAGTACTTAGTGCTCCTCAAGCAAGTGGCCTTTTGAGGTGATGTTGCAGTATAAAACCGAGCGATTAACAAAGTTTCAATACATTCCCGTAGAAAAAAAAAAAGGCGGTTCCAATGAAGGCAATCTGCCTTTTGGGCTTGCTCGTGGTCGTCGCCATTGGCAGGCTTGAAACGGCAAATGGGGCCGGGGCATGTGGGAAGTCTACTCCAGAAATGGAGGCTTTGAAATTGGCCCCTTGTGCAATGGCAGCACAGGATGAGAAATCTGATGTCCCTGATAATTGCTGCCAGCAGGTGAAGAAATTAGGGCAGAACCCGGGCTGTCTTTGTGCTGTTATGCTTTCTGACACTGCCAAGAGCTCCGGGATCAAACCGGAAGTTGCTATTACCATCCCCAAGCGCTGCAACCTCGCTGACCGCCCTGTTGGTTACAAGTGTGGATGTAAGTTTTCTTCATTAACCCATTGTTAATTTTTTTGTTTTTTTTGTGAACCTTTTATTTGTCATCTCTTTGATGAAACCCAATGATTGTTTTGCAGCTTATACACTGCCTTGAAGGGGTGTAATAAAGAACTCCAAGGGCCATGCAGTGGCTGCAAGGTAGTTAAAAGAAGCTAGTAGATAATTGTGTCATGGTGACTAGCCAATAACAGTTGCCAGTTTGTATGTATGCATCATAAATAATGTATGTAAAATATCAGTTTGAAGCTGTGTTGGGTTCTTCCCAACCCTTTTATCACCCATTAAACGAGGTTTTTATTGGGAAAGGATCACCTGTCCCCTTTTCTCCATGTCATCTCTCTGACCCGTCTGATCTAATTGCATGGCAGAGAAAAAATAATTTAAGATAAGAAACAAGTAGGTGTGAGCATGGTCCGGATTAGACCGGATTGGGGTAAAATCAGGATCAATCCGTTATCTACTGTTTTTAAAAAATTGGAACCAATCTAATCCGTTTAAAATGTGGTACCAATCCGAATCAATCCATTTAAACACGGATTGAATCGGCTTAGGACCACGGATTTACATAATTAAATAACAAAAAAATATATATAACACTTTAATTTCATAAAAATATAAATATAACACCATATTAGTTTCACAATAGCAATATGTCTTTTCATAATAGTCACATATTGTTCTAGAATTTAAACAATCATAAGAAAATTAGTTTCACCATAAGTATTTAGACAATTACAAATTAACGCTAAAAACTAGCAAACAAAAGTAATAAAAGAAGATATTATGCGAGTTTAGGTTTGGATTGAAGTTTTATATGAAATAAGAGAAGATACTATGGAAGAGGGTGTATAATAAAAATATAGACTATTTGTATACGGCCCGGATCGGTTCCAATCCGGAACTGTGGGGTTCAATCCGGAACCAATCCGTGAACTACGAATTTTTAATTTTTCAATCCGGAACCGAACCACGGATTCAAAAAATCAATCCAAACCTACTGAATTGAATTGGATTGGATCAGATTACGAATTTCACGGATTCCTTACTCAGCCCTAGAAACAAGACAGAAAATGGCAGAATTTACACATTCGGTCAAACTATATAGTTGATGAGCATTTTTAATCGAGGTTGAGGACCACTCGTCCCGTTCTTTCACGTGGATCTTTTTTTGTCTCTCTGAGTGTAGACAAAGGTTCCATACTCTCTTTATTGAACACTCGAGGCCAGGGATTGTCTTTTAATCTGTCTCATGTTCTAACACACTCCTGTTCATTAGATCATGTTAGAATTTCAACGCGGTCATGATATCCAATCCAATGTTAAGATATAAGGTTAAAAGAATTTGGGGATAGAGGGAACCTAAGCCCAGTTAAGAAAACATGTCACAAAAAATTATGAAACCCGCAAAATATAGCTTAGAGAAAGCAGCAATTGCAGAACAAAATTATTCACCATAAGTATTTAGACCATTACAAATTAACGCTAAAAACTAGTAAACAAAAGTAATAAAAGAAGATACTATGCGAGTTTAGGTTTGGATTGAAGTTTTATATGAAATAAGAGAAGATACTATGGAGGAGGGTGTATAATAAAAATATAGACTATTTGTATACGGTCGGATCGGTTCCAATCCGGAACTGTGGGGTTCAATCCGGAACCAATCCGTGAACTATGGATTTTTAATTTTTCAATCCGGAACCGAACCACGGATTCAAAAAATCAATCCAAACCTACTATATGTACAGATATTCTTGTTGTTGGACGTATCCTCTACTAGCATGCTTGAGCATGAGAAATATATTTTTTATTATCTAGAAAATTCCAAGTACATTTTTTTTTTTTTTTTGGGGGGAAAAAATTTTTTTTTTTTTTTTTTTTTTTTGGACTGTCAGCCAGTGGGGGCGCGCCACCTCACTGGGGTTGCGACCCCCACTGGGAGTATTTAGCACGGTTGTTTTACGAATTTCTTGCTCAACCCTAGAAACAAGACAGAAAATGACCGAATTTACACATTCGGTCAAACTATATAGTTGATGAGCATTTTTAATCGAGGTTGAGGACCACTTGTCCCCTTCTTTCACGTGGATCTTTTTTGTCTCTCTGACCTCATCGTGTAGACAAAGGTTCCATACTCTCTTTATTGAACACTCGAGGCCAGGGATTGTCTTTAAATCTGTCTCATGTTCTAACACACTCCTGTTCATTAGATCATGTTAGAATTTCAACGCAGTCATGATATCCAATCCAATGTTAAGATATAAGGTTAAAAGAATTTGGGGATAGAGGGAACCTAAGCCCAGTTAAGAAAACATGTCACAAAAAATTATGAAACCCGCAAAATATAGCTTAGAGAAAGCAGCAATTGCAGAACAAAATTATTGGGTACTTAGAAACAAGATGGTAACGTCAAACCTATCAACTTCTACTAAAATATAGATGCAGAGACTTTGTCTATGCTCTTCAATAATCTTAAACCAACAAAACATAGTGACCACAGAGAGACGACAGCTATGTTTTGGATAGAAAATAACCTCAATTTAAAGATCTAAAATCTCAATCAGACAAAACATTCAAAAAATAACATCTACTTAAAAGATCCAAGTTCAAAACCATATCAGTATAGATCATAGGACAATTATGCTTGTTGGGTCACAGTCCATTCCAAAGTTGATTTGGTAGTTTCAACAAGATGACAACATGGATTTAAATCAGATGTACTAAGGGGTGATAGGGGTGTTTGTGGGACAACAGAACATGCCCTAGGGTCAGGCTCACATGGGATTCTTTGTCCTATTCTTTTCTGTCCATTGTTCTTAACTACCTCTCTATCACATTAGTTTTTTTGGATCATTGAGAGAATTTGAAACAGGAAAGTGTGGGTTCTGATAAATACTGAACAAATCACTTAACCGTAGGTATTTTTGGAGATTAAGAATATTTTTGATATTTCACGATTCTGTCATGTTACCCTAATACTATATATTTATAGTTGAGTGCTGCATCTCTCTCTATATAGGTATTTTTAGAATAAGGATATTTTTGATAATTTACAATTCTTCCATGTTATCCTAATACTACGTATTTATAGTTAAAGTATAACATCTCTATACTGTATTGTAACTATTTCAAATCATAGTGAAACTACAACGACTATGAAGTAGCCCTATTCTAGGATGAACTATATAAATCTTTATGTTCTTATGTATTTGATAATTTAGAATCTTGTTTTATTCCTGTTTGTATTCCATGTCGTGTCTCACCGATACTAGTTAGGTATGTTTGTAGAAATATAGAAGTTTACCAATAGATATATGTACTTATTGTGTATATTTGCGAAAATTTGTTGAGAAAACTTTTATGATGTGTATGGATGTTGGATTCATGGAGAGGGGAAAATAGAAGACTCCCTTTTTTCCTTTCCCTCCACAAATCAAGATCCAAACAAAACCTTAGTTTCCACTCTTCATGTATTGCAATTCAACATTGTTTTGAGCTTTTCCATGTCACAGATGCAAACTCTGTTCATAAGGTAACCTTAATGCACTCAAGCCCTCAACTTATAAACAGTCGTAAAATCCAGTAGAAATGAGAGATTTTCATGACTTTGGATGTAAAAGGAGTTCATCTCTACAACATAATCAAAAGCATATATACATAGAAAGCACACAAGGCAACTTAATGTTCAAAGTTGTCCAACCACAAAGCACAAGTTAATGGTAAAAAAGCATAAAATCACTAAATCAAACATCCTTTACAGCAAAACATCATATTCAACATTCTTTTTACAATAGTAAGACGAAAACGAAAAAGAAAAAGAAAAAGAAAAAGAGGTATAAAATAGTACATAAACTACGACTGCATATGATGGTTTTGATGTTTCGCTGCAAAAAGCGACAAATGACCGTCTGCAACGAACTGCTACTATCCATCTTCTACATATATGAGATATGATAAACTGCTATCCTATGTATATGACATCCTGCAAACAAGTAATGAAAGATAACAGCTAAAAATCATATCAATTTAGAACAAAAAGTAGCCAAAAGTGAAATAACTCCCCACTAATGCATATAATTTATTGGAGACATGGCATAAACATAGAAAACCACTCCATTTGAAGGATTGCTGTTAGTGTCCCTGGTGGTGTGGATTTGAGTCATAAAAACAGTTTCTCCAAAAATGAGGATAAACCAAAGTACATCTTATCCTCCCTAGACTCTGCTTTAGTGGGAGCGTCACACACTAGATTGCTTTTATATATTTTTTATTTTTTATCTTTCCATTTTCTTTTTGTATCCCCAAGATTTATTGATTGTGTAATAAACAAGAACAAATCTGAAAACGCATTTATCTCAAATAACAAATTTAAGTGCTAAGTGCTGAATATGAATATGCTTCCTACACAATAATAACTTCAGATCAACAATATATGACACTTTTGTGATCTAACAGATGTGAGCGAAATTCATGTGAAACTTGAGGAGACTTCCACCATGAGGTAGAAAATACGATACCTGAGCATATGGGAAATTCACACACCATAGTTGGTGAGTTCTTAGTAATATAGAGACCCTGCAAAAGCAAATATTTGATCAACAAAGATGTTAGCCAATACTAGTAATACCACTTTCCATGCACATTTGACACAGACATACAATCATCCTACCTTGCCACCAATTTCCTCTTGAAGCACTGCCTGAATCATCTTCTACCCCATCTTGATTGACCTGAGGAGATTAGAAAACATTTCAGCATATTGTCATATTTGTGAAGACTCATTAATGGATCTTTATTGTAATAGTACACTCTGTAAGTGATATTCCCGTGCAAATCCCATCTAGCCCAGCAAGGCACAGAATTCTTCAAAAAGAGAGCATGTTGGATAGGTAGTAATTATTTCTTGTTCAATTTTAGAGATGTCGTAAATTGAATATTAGCAAAATTATCGTGCTTCCTGAGTTGCATAGCATAGACTCACCGTTGAGTGCCCAGAACCTTGGGTAGTCTGAGGTTGAGAATAGATGTCTTGACCGCCATAATATATCGATGAGCTGAGGTCACACGGTTGTACTCTTTGTTCCTGATAAAACGGACTCATGTCCCTGTTATGTATGTTTTGATTTTCACCTTCACCACTCCGAGGTATAGTGTCTAAAAAAGAGAAGAATTAGCAAAAATTCTAACCACAGAAAACCCAAAAAGAATACCAATAAACCAAATTTTAAAGAATTTGCAAAAGAAACAGATCTCAGTCAAGGTTGCAACTTAGACTAATTGGTCAACAAACAACAGTTTCCACCAACTGTTTTAAATTTATCCAGAGTAGAATTTGGAATCCTTTTATTGAAATGGGTTAACAGGAATTATTTTATCTTCATGTAAAAAAAAAATGAAGAAGAAGAAAAAGAAGAAGAAGAAGAAGAAAGAAACTACTTTGTTAAGTTTAAACCTTTTTCAAATGGAGTGAACTATCTTCACAAATGAGGGTGATTGAGTTAAACATTCTAAATCTGCCTAATTAGGAAAATCAGTAATGAAAGTTGATCTTCATAAAGGCTATATGAACTACTGCAAGATTGTTATAGTTTAGAAAGTAATAGATCATTCATAAAGATGAACCGAACCAAATAGATCTCTACAGAAGCACTATCAATCATCAAAATGACACGGTATTCAAAAGAAAATGCAGGTTTAACGCGCATACAAATAAAGAAAGGCATAATTAAATTATCATTTCATTGATAATTTAAACAGCTCCAACTAAAATTACAGAATCCAAACTAGAAGCGCAACAGCAATGTAAAGCTTAATCCTTTCACAAACCTTGAGCTCCAGGTTTGGTGCTCCAAACCTGATTTGGAGAGTCTTGCTTCTTCTCAACCGCCTTAGAGTGCACAGACTCCCTCCCCAACACCTAAAACAATTTCAAAAAACAATTTATGAGCTTTCTTACAATAAAGAATTGAGAAGAGAAAAACATAATATTTAAAAAAAAAAAATCAAATATTTGATTTAATCAAATCATAGGCAAACATGGCAACAATCAAAATATATTGGGTTGAAACAGAACTTGCATTGCAAGTTCATTCAAACAAAATTAAATACCAACAAGCATAGACAAGCACAATCTCACTCATCCATCATCACATGGTACTTATTTTAATTGAACCCATAATAAGTTCTATTGCAAGATTTTACTTTGATTTCTTAATTCTTTTCTTGACTGACTGAAAAATACCCAAATATGGTGAGGTTCAAGAAAAACCAATACAACGTCAAATTGCATATAGTTCTCCTTTATCTGCGTGGCCTATTACGCAATTTGATGAAGTTAAACAAAAACCCATTAAAAATTCACAGCAAGAACTTGACACACAACGTTCAAAGTCTTCGAAAAGTTTCAAACAACGAATCCACAGAAGAACAGAGCCACAAAAACTGATGCCCATTAACAAAACTCAGAAAAATGCACAAAACCCAATAACAGAAAAACGGAAATTGAATCAAATAATTCAATGAAAATGCAAAGAACTCGTCAAATGTCCACAATCAACACAATTCAAAGTGGTGGGAAAAGGGAATGAATACCTTGGAAGAAGGCTCAAAGATAGACCCAAAAATTCCAGAAGATGATGAAGCAGAGGACTCCTTGGAACCGAAAAGATCAGAAGTGAATGAGGAAGATGAAGGAGAACCCATTTGCTTCTTCTCGCCCATATTTCTCTCTCTCTCTCTCTCTCTAAAACTCTCTTCGTATACCAACAAATGAGAGTAATTGAAGAGAGAGTGTCAAATATATAGAACAACCACCGTCAAAGAGTACCCAGAAGGAACGAAATGGCTGATAAATTTTGCAGAGAAACAAACAGAAAGTGCAGACGAAAACAAATGAAGAAGAAACGGAGAGAGAGAGAGAGAGATCGCTTATGTGTTTGTGTTTTTGTGTGTGTGTGAGAGAGAGAGAGAGAGAGGGAAATCAAAACCGTTTCTCACCAATTTATAGAACAGCACAAACTCTCTCTCTCCGTCTCTCTCTCTTCATATACATTCATATATCTCTGTTGTTTCTCTCTCTATATCAGATTGATTTTTCTCTCGCCTACGATCTCTGCATTCTCTCTCATCTTTTTGTTTTTGTTTTTTTTGTTTTTTGGTTTTTTTGTTTGTTGGTTTGTTTGTTCTTCAGTTTCTGTTATGTTATGTGGAAAATGTACCAGATTTATGCCACGTGGAAAACAATCAGAGTATAACGTGGCACCGCTGTGGTCTCTTCCAACGTTTTACTGCCACGAATACCTAAGTGGATAATAACAACCCTACCATTCCACCGAAAGATTTTGACAAACTTAGAAGTTTTTAAAAGATATTTGGAGAATTATTTATAAATTCAATATCGCAGCTCCATGTGGTGTTTTAGAAAATTGGTAAAAAATTATTTTTTTGGTTTTTTTAATAATTTTTTTTTGACAAAAAAATTAGTCTTTTTGGCTAAATAAATTAAAAAATTAACTTTTTTAGCTTGTTGTCAAACTGTCCCTATGTCTTGATAGATCCGGACCGTATACAAATAGTCTATATTTTTATTATACATCCTCCCCCATAGTATCTTTTCTTATTCTATGTAAAATCTAAACTCAAACCTAAAATCGTATAATATCTTCTTTTATTACTTTTGTTTGTTAGTTTTAAGTTTTAATTTGCAATGGTCTAAATACTTATGGTGAAACCAGTTTTCTTATGGTTGTTTAAATTCAAGAACAGTATGTCGTTATTATAGAAAAACATGTTGCTATTATGGAACTAATATACCGCTATGTTTATATTTTTATGAAATTCAAGTGTTATATATATATTTTTGTTATTTAATTATGTGAATCCGTGGTCCTAAACCGATCCAATCCGTATTTAAATGGATTGGTTCGGATTGGTTCCATGATTTAAACGGATTGGATTGGTTCCAATTTTTTAGGAACCGTAAATAACGGATTGGTCCTGGTTTTATCCCAATCCGGTCCAATCCGGACCATGCTCACCCCTAATAAATTCTATTTTCTATAAATTTATCTTTAATTATTTATGTTTTATTTAATTTATATTTTTTTTGATTATTTTATTAGATCTTATTTGAAATAAAAAGATTAAAATATCATTTTCCTCCACTTATGTTCTATTTAGTTCATATTATTTTCTTATATTTCAATAAGTTCTATGGGTGACATAATTACCAAAATACTCCTAATGTGAATGTTCACACCGTCAATGTGAATGTTCATATCGTCAATGTGTAGGGGCCCGACCCATGTACAATGTGAATATTCACATTGACATGTTAACATTCACATTGATAGTAGTGTAAAATTAGCCCGGGGCCTGTGGGCGGCCCGGGGCGAGCCCGGTCCGGCCCGTGACAATGTGAATATTCACATTGACATATTAACATTCACATTGATAAAACTGTAAAATTGGCCCGCGACCTGTAGGCGGCCCGAAGCTCGCCCGTTGCTGGGGCGGGCCCGGGCCGTTGATAATGTGAATATTCACATTGACATGTTAACATTCACATTGATATGAGTGTAAAATTAACTCGCGTCCCATGGGCGGCCCGAAGCCCGTGGACGGCCCGGGACGAGCCCGGCCCGGCCCGTGACAATATGAATATTCACATTGACATATTAACATTCACATTGATAGGAGTGCAAAATTGGCCCACGTCCCGTGACGGCACGAAACCCGCCCACAGCCGATGGGCGGCCCGGGGCGTGCCCGGTCCGGCCCGTTAACAATGTGAATATTCACATTGAGGCCGCGGGCTAATTTTATACTCCTATCAACCGGTCCGGCCCGTTGACAATGTGAATATTCACATTGACATATTAACATTCACATTGATAGGCGTGTAAAATTGGCCCGTGGCCCGTGGGCGGCCCGAAGCCCGCCCGCTGCCCGGGGCGGGCTCGGCCCGGCTTGTTGACAATGTGCGGGCTCGGCCCGGCCCGTGACAATGTGAATATTCACAATGACATATTAACATTCACATTGATAGGAGTATAAAATTAGCCCGCGGCCCAAAGACGACAGCCTCGGGTCGGGCCGGTGGGCCCAGGCCTAAGCTCGAGCTTAGGCCTGGCTTGGGCAAGCCTGGCCATTTTTTTTTAATTCTTTTTAATTTTTTCTATCAAAATTTTATTATTTTTCACAAAAAAAGACATTGTGCCTCAGGCGGGTTGGGCCTCGGACCGAGCCTTGAATGGGCCTTAAGCGGGCCGATGGGCCAGGCGGGGCTTCAAAGTGATGGCCTAGGCCCTAGCTTAGGGTCTCGGACATGCTCAGGTCCGGACCTAAACGAGCCTGCCCCGGGCCGTGGGCGAGCTTCGAGCAGCCCACGGGCGACGGGCCAATTCTACATTCCTATCAATGTGCATGTTAACATGTTAATGTGAATATTCACATTGTCAACGAGCCCGGCGGGGCCTACCCCGGGCCGCGGGCGAGCTTCGGGCAGTAGGTAAATTTTACACTCCTATCAATGTTAATGGTAACATGTCAATGTGAATATTCACATTGTCACAGGTCGGGCCAAGCCCGCCTTGGGCTGCGGTCGGGCTTCGGGCCACCTACGGGCTGCGGGCTAATTTTACACTCTTATCAATGTAAATATTAACATATCAATGTGAATATTCACATTGTCAATGGGTTGAGCCCGGCCCGGCTCGCCCCGAGCTGCGGGCGGGCTTTTGGCCGCAGGCCAATTTTATACTCTTATCAATGTGAATGTTAACATGTCAATGTGAATATTCACATTGTCAACAGGCCGGGCCGGGCCCGCCCTGGGCCGCCCATGGGCTGTGGGTGGGTTTCGGGCAGCCACGGGGCACGGGCCAATTTTATATTCTTATCAATGTGAATGTTAACATGTCAATGTGAATATTCACATTGTCAACAGGCCGGGCCAGGCCCGCCCCGGGCTGCTTACGGGCCGTGGGTGGGTTTTGGACAGCCACGGGGCGGGGGCCAATTTTATACTCTTATCAATGTGAGTATTAACATGTCAATGTGAATATTCACATTGTCAACGGGCCGGGCCCGCCCCGGGCTGCCCATTGGTCGTGGGCGGGTTTCGGGCAGCCACGGGGTGCGGGCTAATTTTACACTCCTATCAATGTGAATGTTAACATGTCAATGTGAATATTCACATTGTCAACGGGCCGCGGGGGAGCTTTTGGCCGCCCACGGGACGCTGGCCAATTTTATACTCTTATCAATGTGAATGTTAACATGTCAAAGTGAATATTCACATTGTCAACAGGCCAGGCCGGGCCCGCCTCGGGCCGCGGGCAGGCTTTTGGCCGCCCATGGGCTGCGAACCAATTTTATACTCTTATCAATGTGAATGTTAACATGTCAACGTAAATATTCACATTGTCAACGCCCCGGACCGGGCCCGTCCCGGGACGCCCATGGGCCGCGGGCGGGTTTCGCGCCACCACGGGACGTGGGCCAATTTTACACTCCTATTAATGTGAATGTTAACATGTCAATGTGAATATTCACATTGTCAACAGGCCGGGCCGGGCCCGCCCCGGCTCGCAGACGGGTTTCGGGCTACCCACGGGCCAATTTTACATTCCTATCAATGTGAATTTTAAAATATGAATGTTCACATCATAAAATTGCTAACCGTTCAAAAAATATTTATAAGGGTATCAAAATTAAATATAAGGGCATAAGTGTCCAAGAAAATAGTGTAAATTAAGAAAAATGACTTTATGAAATAAAACTATACATACATGAGACTAAATGAGTTAAAAATTCCTTCATGGACTTCTTGGGTTAAAACACTTCTAAATGAGATTTATCAATAATTTTCCCTTTAGAAATTTGGTAAAAAATTAATTTTTAAATTTTTTTAATAATTTTTTTGGCAAAAAAAGTAGTCTTTTTGGCTAAAACACCTAAAAAGTCAAAAAAATTAACTTTTTTAGCTTGTTGCCAAACTGCCCCTATGTCTTGATAAGTTTATAATTTTTTTTTAATGTTTCATCAAAAGATTTATATTTTAATAAGTTTTTTTTTTTATATTAGAATTATGAATAGATTATAAATGGGCCTGGCTTTGGTCCAGTCCACCATCGGACTGAACGGTACTGTTAGGCCCGTGGGGGCCCACCACGGGTCTTGTTTTGAAAATCTAAACCGTCAATGTATAGAACTTGTCAAGTACTATATGCTTGTGAAAAATCACGTTGATCGGATATCAATAGCTATGTGATCAAAACAGTTTTTTTATAAACCGTTAATTTATTCACCGTTCATTTTTTTTTATACAAAACTGATTTGATCATATAGCTATCGATATCCGATCAACGTGATTTTTCATAGGCATATAGTATTCGACGAGTTCTACATATTGAACGGTTCAGATTTTTAAAACGGGACCCGTGGTGGGCCCCCACGGGCCCAACAGCACGGTCCAGTCTGATGGCGGACTGGACCAAAGCCAGACCCATTCTAAATATATTTCTTGAGATTTAATTAAAATACGAATCGTTTTTTATGATTTTAAAATTACATTCTATCTATGAGATTTTTAATTTTATAACAAATTGTCCATTTAATTAATAAATTATCAAGTCAATTAATAGTTTTTAATGATATTAGAAATATGTTTTAATTAATAATTTAAGTAATTTTATTATTGTATAGGAGAGCAATTATAAATTTTATATTTTTAGTTAATTCTATTAAATAAAAAAATTTTTGATAAGGGACTATTTGTAATTTTCTAAATGAAAGAGCACAATGCGTATTTTAAACAAAATTTCAGGAGTCTATTTGTAATTTACCCAATTATGATGTATATGTTGAGTATAAAGGGTAGTTTTGGAAAGTGGCTATTAGTGCGATTTGAAGATAAAATTATGAGAAATTCTTCTTACACTACGAAATCAGCTTATTACACCCTTAACTTTTTACTTTTTTTTTATTACATTTTTATCCTTAATTAAAAATATAAAAATCCCTCAAATCTAAAAAGATGAAATTTTAATTTTTTCTCCTACCTACCTCCCCTTAATTTTTTAGTCCAAAAAGATAAAAAGTGCGCTTATTTAAGACACGCCAAACAACCCCTAAATATCTAAAAG